GGAATCCATCAGTGTTCAATTAGTCATCTTCTCCTTCATCCTCCTGCAAGAGAAAGTGGGCAGTTAGTCTTCAGGGTTCATTCTCAGGCCATCCTCTTGCCTGGACCCCAAACCATCACGAGGACGACTTTCTCTGGGTGTACCCGATCTCCTGAACCTGTATATTAATCTGCATTGTGATGTTGTTTCAGATAAACTAACTTCTCAGCACTAACCAAATCTTTGGGCACATTTTGAACCAAATAACCAACTTACCAATTCGACTATTTGCTTTTTTGAATCAGGGTCTTGTGTAGCCCAGGCAGGCCTTGAACTCATGGCAATACTCCTGCCTCAACCTCCCAGAGTGCTGGGATTACAGGCGGGCACCATCATGCCAGACCCCTGGCTCAACTTGACTATTAAGAATTCTATGCCTTGGGCCGGAGATTTAGCTCAGTGGTTTCGCTTCCTGCTGCTCAAGTGCAAGGACCCAAGTTCAATCCCCAGTACCAAAAGAAAAAAAAAAGGAATTCTACGCCTGGCCTGCCACAAAAGCAGAAGGACCTGAGGTTGATCCCCAGTAACCCCGCCCCCAAAAAGAGAATTCTATAGTTTAGGTTGGGGAGGTAGCTCAGTGGTAGAGCACTTGCCTAGAATGTTCAAGGCCCAATGCCCACCGCCTACCATCACAAAAGAAAACAAAACAAAAACATGCATAGCTTTTTAATTTGGGAGAAATTTCTAAACTTGACCAGCTGTAGCACTATTACTTTCATTAAGTACTGGCTAAGGAAAGACAGACAGGCTCTTGTGGTCCTAAAAACTAACAGAATTGGCCAGGGATTTAGCTGTGGTTCCACCATCTGCCTTGAAAGCGCAAGGTTCTGAGTTCAATCCCCAGTACAAAAAACAAAAAACAAAACTAGCAGAACTACTTAAAACATTAACATGAATGAGCTTATCGGACACTTCCCTGATTCAAAACCCGCAAAACAGCGTGTCCTCCCCCACAGTCAGTACAGACCACACCTACTACCCATCACACCCCATAATAACATGGTGTCATCTTTTTGGAGATTATCTTCTGGGCTTAGCCTACTTCTCTTTACCTCTCCTTCTTCCCCTTCATCATCATCTTCATCTTCTTCACCTTCATCCTCATCCCCTTCTTCATCAATGTCTTCCAACCCTTCTTCTTCTTCATCATCATCATCATCTTCTTCTCCTTCCCCTTCCTCGTCATCCATATCAGGAACCTTAAAACAGGAGCTACCTTGAGAACGCACATTTACACAAGTGACACAACCACCGTCTTGAGTGAACCAACACTCCCAACTCACCAAGTAGTACTGCAAGGGATTTGGCCAAATATCATCTTTGATGACCTCTCCTAACTCATCTGCACCTGCATCAGAATGGTCGGTAAACCAGGTAAAGAAGCTCTCGGGTTCTTCATGCTGCCTCTTCCTACTGGCTTTATTCTGTGTTTGACTTGAACGTTTCGTCAAATCCTAAGTGAAAAATATAAAGAAATTTTTGATATAAGCTCTTCACAATACCTAAACTCCCTACGATATAAAAAATTATAATCCTCGCAAAGCATTAACAAAAAAGGGCAATATTTACACTACTGTTGTCTAACTAAAAGCAGTCATAAAATGCACAGTGAGCAAAGAAAGTCTAAAGATTATTTTCCAAGAAGGAAAACTAAATTTGGCTTTTTCATAAAAATTTAAGCTACATTAAAAATTATTTCACATTAACAACTATAAGCATTAACACAGTATATAACTCAAAATGCATCTTGCCACATTTATCTCTAATTACTGTTCTAAACTGTATTTTGCTCCAACACACTGGGATTTTAAAGTTTTTACTATGTTTAACAATCAACAAAATCCAAGTACAGGTTAAGTGGCTCTACCAAGCCACAACACATAAAATGTTCCATTTGTCCAAGAATTACTAAAAGCATACCTTTCCAGATTTCCATTTGATTTCAGTGGACTTTGAAGATGGATCACCACTCTCATTCAGATGAAATTCTTTGGAGAGAACTTTATTTTCGAAGTAAGGATTTTCATCAAAATACTACAATAATTACAAGATTAGGTTATCAGTATAAACAGCTTATATAAAACTCAAATTGATTTCCAGTGTCCAGCATGATTATGAATACTTACAAAATCTATTCTGTAACCTGATTTTATATCTTCAAATTCTGTCACTTCGACTCTGGTCAAATAATGCAATGCCTCTTCGTCTTCCTCCCCAAGCAGTGCAGACACTAGATCAGCAAATTACAGATCAGCTTAAGTTTAAACAGGCGAACATCAACAATTTAAGTGAGTCCTTTTCAACTTTTAGTGATTGATTACCTTTAATTTAAAAAACCCATTATTAAGAAAAGCCAAAATTATCAGAACCACAACCACGACTGTTTTTCATCAGAGAATTACACTGAGTTCTATGCTAAGTAGAGAAAAAGCATTCCAGTGTTCTCCCCTTGATGAAGGTTTCAACCCATTCACACAACCCAACATATGCTGGATTAAGACCCTAGGCTAGGCTCCTCCACCCTATCTACAGCTTTTAACAATGTTCTGACCACAACGTACCTTGTGGATGGTTAACAAATGTTGTTACCCAAAAATTGGGGATTTTGGCGATCAATTCTGACCTCTTCTGAAAAAATGGTTGGCGGAGTTTGTTATATTTCTGTTCTACTTTCAATATCTCCTCACTGGCTTGTTCATTAAGTCTGAAGCAAATGAAGACATGTCAGCAATGATGGTTATTTGACAAACAGAAATTGCTCCATTACAGAATGGACATTCATTCTCCATAGAGTTAAGATTCAAAATCCTTATTTTTAATAACCAAATCGCCTAGGGCCAGGGATTTAGCTCAGTGGTGCAGCCAGGCGCAAGGTCCCCAGTTCAATCCCCTTACCAAAACAAAACAAAACAAAACATAAATAACCAAATCACCTTGTTTGTAGCTAAAGACACAAAACTAAGATATCAATTTTCTTTTTATCAAAGAACACTTAAAATACCTGTTAATTCTTAAAAACTCCCAAAATGAACATTTTGGTAACACTGTATATTTATTTACTTTATCTACTGGATTTCCAAGCAAACTTACAATTGTTTCCCTCCAGCAAGAGTTCTAAGTAAAACCGTTAAGCAACAATGTTACAAGCAAGTTAGTTCCACAGAGATGCAGTAATGTTAAATCATGAGAAATCCTACACAACTATTCAGAGATTTGTAGCCTTTAAAATCAAACACAGCTGGGGATTTAGCTCAGTGGTTTCGCCGCCTGCTTCTCTAGCGCAAGAACCAAGTTCAATCCCCCGTACCAAAAAAAACCCAAACAAACAAATAAAACGAAACACAATCACTGCAGTCAATGTGCTTTTAAAAATCAAATCCTGACTGTATATTTCACAGAAAAATTACACTGAATATATCTAGTACTTCCAACTAAAATATAATCATCTCCCCTTAGCCAACAAATAGATTCCCATATTTCAAAGATATGAGGCGACTAGAGGCATTTTAGAAAACGACCAAGTAAATGAGGAAAAATTTTACCTGTCTATTTCATTTTGTACTTCATCAATATGTTCAATTGCTTCTTGTTGTTCTTTTTCTGCAAAAAAGGGAGCATAAAACTCAATACTAGTGACTAGCTTTCTTGCCATTAAGACAGGAGGAGAGGGGAACATAAAGCTGATTTTAAGAAGGGCACACTACAAGGCGTGCTCTCCACGTGCTCATGCACTTAGATGACAAATTACTTTTACATTAAAAGACTATTCACAAAGTATACCTGCTAGGCTATTCCAAAAATGATTCGCTGTAGTACTTCTACAAAAAAAACAGTTCCAACACAAAGAATACGAGATTTTAGGAAAGATCAGGCCTAGACTTACTCAGAAATTCCTGGTGCATACTACTTATCACATTATACGCTGGCAATGGAATGCCGGCTAACTAGAATTTGGAAACTAAGCCACAACAATACACCCACCCTATCACTTATCTCAGTGGTACACTTCTTACAGAAAGTTGAAGATTCTGGTCATTGATCAGCACAATGAAAATATTAAGGCACGCGGACAAAGCTAAGTGCTCAGAACTACCCCACCCTCGCAAACCTTGCACTCGGGGGTACTAGAACAGAAGCCCCGAGATTCGAATCCGACCTTCCCCACTGCTCCAACCCAACCCCGCGGAAGGATCGCTTAGGCGGGTCCGCACGATTTTGGAGCACTCTTACTCGGGAATAACTATGAGCTCGGAAAACTACGACGTGCAGAAAGTAGAGGAAGAGAAGCAGGTGTGCTCCTGCTCCGGACCCTTTTGTCCAGTAAGAACAGCGAAGAGCCCTACAATGCTAAGGGGGCGTGCAGGGCCCGATCGCGCGGGTCATTTCCGGTGGCTATCCCGGCATCCGCGATGCGGCCAGCAGGCCTTTCCCGCCGAGGCAGGGGTTGCAGGGGCGTCCCGGGGATCTCGCCTCACCGGGCCCGCCCCGGGGCGGCCGCCCACGTGGGACGCGCGCCAGGCGCCCGAGCATCCCGAGCCCCCCCAGGCCCGCCGCGTGCGCCCCCGCCCCGGCCCGGCCCGGCCAGAGCGCGAGCCCCGCGGCCCGGCTGCAGCAGGGGGCGCCGGGCGGGGAGGGCGGCGCGGGAGGCCCAGCGCGAGGCCGCGTCTGGCCGCACCATGTGGCGGCGGCGGCGGCTGATGGGAGCGAGGCATCATGGCGGAGCACAATAAAGAGAGGCTTCTCGGGAGGGAGGGAGGAGGGAGGAGAGCGCGGGAGGGGAAGAAGGGGGGGGTCTCCTCCGCCCGCGCCGAGCAGGCCGCAGCGCCCCCGCAGCCGCGGCGCC